GGGGGGCGGGGGGGGGGGGGGGGGGGGTCGGCGGAAAGCGGAAAGTATCCAACACTACGGTAAATAGAGCTAGGGGGACCGGGCGAGGGAAACGGAGGTCGACGGCGGACGGTTTAGGGAAGATGGATGAACACCCCGGCGATGATGGTGCTTCGATGGTATCCGAAGAGACATCGTCGCGGCACGGCAAAAAAAAAAAAATAGAAACCGAGGTTTTGTGTGCGCCTGCTTTCGTTCGTTCGACCGCACGCGATCGCGTCGTACTAGGGGTGCGCGAGAAATTCGACGCACATGCATACATTCACGGTCTCTGTATGCTATCAGCTAAGGGATAGTGACCACATCAAAAGCAGATATCGGCGCGCAGTTGAGATCAACACATGAACAACTGCTGTGTTGGCCGTGCCACATGATTCTCGCGCGAAGGTCTTCGGGAGAGAAGAACACCATTCCACAACACGAATACGAAGTACTTTTTCTCATAAGAACGACTAGTATAAAGATACACCGCGGTATATAGGCTCGGTGTGTGCCGACTTCTCCCCAACCACCAGAGCACTCAAAACAACACATGAGTCTGCTTGAAATAAACACCAAACCAATTTCCCGGCGAGGTGGAAATATGTTCACTATTCAGGTACTTACGGTGAAACAAGCCTACAATCCGGTGTGAGGTCGCGTGAAGTAACTTGCAACAACATCTACCATACGCCTAAAGACATTGCGACATATTCCTGTGGAAGAAGCTATCATAAACAACAGTAGCAAACATAACAACTTCAAGGTTCTGTTGTTGGGTTGTGCGCAAAGCCTTAGACTAAAGGCGGTGGATACAATTCCACCCTTCTTTTTTTCGTTCCGGCTGGCGTCACAGGTTCCTCCCTCTCAATGGTCCAAGGCTTCAAACAGAACTCAACGGCAACCCCAGCGTCGCGCTCCCAGGTGTTCACTCAACCGTGACTGAAAACACAAGTACTATACCTGGTTGTACGCACGTGCCGGAGCTATCTTCACTAAGCTCGAACGGGTGGTCTCTCAGTGACGTTGCCTATATTTTCTAAAACTCACAATCACAGCAGACTTCCTACCGTGTTGCGGGGTGACTCAAAACACGGCGGTGGCTGAATACTGCTGCTGTAGCACGTCAACGGCACCATGTATGTAGCACACACAGACAGCAGATATTCTTACCGCACCTACCGCCGTAGCTTTACTGTCAAGCATGCACACAAGGGCTGTTGAAGGGTGCAGCTACAGGTTGTACAGGTGCATTACAAAAGTACACAAAGTGGGGGCGTGATGGGTTTGACAAAGACTTCTCCGTACGTTTAAAATTTTCTGGCAGCGCAAAACAGAAATCTTGTGCTGGCTCGACGAGCTGATCGCAACTCGTGTCAACTGCAACTGGATCAGGAGGGGGCACGCGAGCAGGCACGCGAAATGTGACTGCACAAAAATACGGTCTCAGCGGCAACCATCTCACGTATGCCAAGGTGGTCTTGAACTCTAAAGGAGGAGCAGGGCAGAACTCCACGTACGACGGCATGAGGGCCAAGACTCACCAGCGGGGACCACGAAAGCGTCAGCATGGTCGACCAGCAGCAGGCAGGAGATAAGCGCCGTGCGCGCCATCATGTTCTGCTGCGACCCAACACCCACCAGACCATCACACCAACCAGAAACGGTTTCGTCACACGCAGCAGGAAAGAAGAAGCAGGAGAACAGCAGAGAGTCACAAACAGCCAGGTGTCCGGATCGGTCTAACAATGAGAAAATGTTGCGTGACACGTCGTGATCTACATAACACTGCTGATGTCTTGTTTGTGTCGTCGTTCGGCACACGCGGCATGCCGATAGCACCCCACGATTCGGCCGCGAACGCAGAGAGGCAACAAACACGTCAGGGCAGCAAACACCGATGCAACAGGCATCGAGCACCGACTCGGACACCGACGCAACTGGCGGCAGACGATCCAGGGTTCCCGCCACAACGCCATACGGGTTCACCAGAGCAGGAAAATACAAACCTCCTCCTGAGAGGTTGGAGCGGTAAACTACACTACGGATGTAGCCCGCAGCTGCTGCTGCGTTGGGACCAAGGGAAGCAAACATGAACGCGATAATTTGCGTACATACGTTGTCGTAAAGGTTCAAGAAACTTAGTTTACCAGCTCCCTAAACCTTCACTTTCTGGTAGCAGAGAGCTTCGTCGTAGGGCAGTCGACGCTCGTGTTACTCACCGGTACTTCGGGTACCTTCTGCGCCCAGTCAGCCGGGTGTGTGTCACGAGCTGTCTAAACCGGGGGTCCTCCTACTGAGAACATGTAGCCCGTGTACCCTATCCTCACCTCCGGCCCCCTGTGTGCCGCTCTCTCTGGCGGCTCCACACAGCGCAGTTGACAGTTGGCAGCACTGCTGTAGTGCTCGAGTCTTGCCCCTGTGTCTTGCTCTCTCGCTAGTCGTTGTGGGAAGGTCGCTTGCTGTGACTGTGCGGTCCCAGCCGTACGATGGCGAAGCCTGGTAAACGCCGTCGGGGTGGTCCTGGTTTGCCAGCAGCGAAGCACCGAGCGAGCAACATGACAACGACCTCAGCCACCACAGCGGCAAGGTCGCGCCTACCATCACCGCCAACGTCGGCAGCAACGACGCCCATCCAACATAGCAACAACGGCACGGAGGCGAGCCCGGAGAAAACGAGCAACAAGAAGAAGGCGAAGAACAAGCGGAAGAGGCAACAGGAATGCAGCATCCCGGCTGCATCTCAACAGTCCCGTGGTAGCAGTTCGTCCTCGACACGACCACCACCACCAACAACAACAACTTTAAAGAAACACTCGCGGATCAAGGAAAAGCCAGCCCGGTTCGTCCACCCTCATCTCGATGCAGAGCTCCGCCGACTTGGCCGCTCCTGGTTGTCCCCAGGCGACCCCTTGTTCACGCCCGCCCTGGACCGCAGCTACAGGGGGGTGAGGCACGAGCCGGCGGGGTCTCTCCCGCAAGCAGTCCACAGTGGCTTCCGGCAATCGTTCGACAGCCTCCACGAGGCCGGCCTCTTCCTGTACGACACGGTCCAGGCCGGGGGCAAGCGTCTGAGCCGGACGTTCGTGACCAGGACCCTTGTTGGGGACGCGGGCATCACCTACAAGGTGCATTTTTTGTAGTATAGTTTGCTGCCTCGCCGTATCAGCAGTAACGTACTGCTGTAGTACCGATAGGATGTGAGAGATGGGATAGCATAACCCCTGTAGACCGATTGTGAAAGCTCGATTGCTCCGCAACCAAGCTTGTGTGCCAACACTAAAAATGGTGGTTGTGAGAGCATCTCGCCGAGGGCTTTGCGCAGGCGCATGGGGCTCTTACCCGCACCCGCTAGCAATGGAGCTTCGAAAGCCGGTCTTGGCGGGGGGGGGCATCTCTCGCATCCTTACGGTAGCCTCCGTGCCATGATTTCTTTTCCCCCAGCATCGCATTGGTCTCTCGCAACGGCCGTGCCCTGTCTCATCTCGCCTTTCTCTACCCGCCAACGTTTTCGCCATCTCGCAACAAACAGTACCTGGGGCTCCGGTTGTTCGCCCACCCTTGGGGGCTGGGGGAGAGCGACTTCCGAAAGGGGCCAGGCGACGGCTTGGCGGACGCGCTGAACGACCCGTGCCTCGCAGACCTGTTCTCCAAAGATGGCGCTAGCAGTGTAAGAAAGTCGAAAGACAACCTCAGGGGTAGCAGATTCGATGACAACGACAGGGTCGCCGACACCCTGAGAAAAGTCGGCGACCTGAGCGAGTGGATGCGTCTCCGCGCCGGCGCCATGCTTAAGGAGGAAGTCCGGGAAGCGGGAGGGGAGAGGGGGAGCTGCGCGTTCAACCTGACCCTGATCAACCGGATGGAGTGCTCGGGGGCGAAGAGAGATCTCAAGCCGGACCCCCTGTTTTCCATGGGAAAGTGCTCCGTCAGCTGGCACGCCGACAGCTGCCTGCAGGACTTCTCCACCATAGGTGAGGAAGACACCGCGTTGGTGGTGCTTGTTGAGCCGTCTTTGCCTGTTTCTATCTGATTTTGTTTCAATTTTTTTTAGAAGCATGGGTGTGCATGGTACCAGCTGGTAGGCCAGGAGCTTATCCTAAGCTGCTGTACTTGGCCCTGCTATTATCCTCTGGAGTGTCACAGGTGCCCTCATCAATCCCACCACTCCTGTTACACTCGAAATCATCCATCATCCTTTCAGTCCACGCTTCGTCTCTCTTCCGGGCTGTTTTCGCCGACGCTCTTGCTCCACCCCCCTCCTTTCGCTGCAGGCGTGTATCACTGCACTGACCCCGTCCCGGCAGAGCCTGACTGGGGCATAGCGCTCCGCGTGTCGACAGAGGCAAGAGTTGGTGGCGACGGCGGTGGCGATGGTGATGGCAATGGCGTGAGCAACGACGAGAAGACGAGGAGAAAGGAAGCAGAGAGGGGGTTGAAACCGGCGGGGCCGAAGGCAGTAGCATCAGTCGCAGCGTCAGCGGCGGAGGCTGTACCGGAGAAGCAGGGGGAGCAAGTCCTGACGCCACCGCTGCTGATCCCTCTCCAGAGTGGCGACGCGTACTTCCTCCTGGACGACTTCAAGTGAGTTAGGAGTGAGTTTTTTTGTTTTTGCCTCTCGATGCTGCTGTTAACAAATCCTGCAGGCTTTGTATAGTTTCCCCTGCGCTGCCGTGTTCTTGGAGTGTTTTGAGGATTGAGAAGGTGCAGGCCTACCCCACTCCTCCATACCTTTTCAAGCGCTCTCGAGCACTAGCCCACTCCCGAGGAGCTGCATGGGGCTCCATGGGCCGCGCCCAACACCCACGCACACGCTTTGCACACAAGTGTTGAGATATTCCAGAGCCGTTCGAGTACGTACGTTGTCGGCAGATTTCCCTCTTCCGTGTGCGCTACACATACGCACCCGCGACGCTAACCTTTGGCATGGCATGCATCCGTTTCCTCTGTTTCGGCCGCCTATCCCGGGGGGAAATCGTGTACTCGCGGCAGTCACTTCCACGAGCACGCGGTCGTGTCGGGGTCGTCCACCCTTCGATACTCGTCCACGCATCGCGTTGCGGACACCGACGGGAACACGTTCTCGCACGTCCAGAAGCGCTGCGAACAGGCACTCGCCGGTGGGGGCTCCGCGGCGGCGGGAGGAGATGATCAGATCTTGAACCTTGCTCAGGTTCGTCCTCTCCGCGTCGTGTTCCGTTTGGCTATCTTCTCCGCGCGGCGTGTGGCGTTTGGATAGTCAGAGGCGTTCTGTCCCTCGCTCAGCTTTGTTTCACCACGGACGCTCTATGTACGTCGTCGGTAGATTGTGGCTCTTCTTTGATGAGTTTGTGAGAGCGAAAGCGAACATTGATTGCATCCGAGGGTGATGAATACTCACCCTCGCCGACAGCAGCGTTATGTGGAAACTCTTTTTGACCACAAGTGCTACTGTAGTCTACATATTGCTAGGGAATTCTTGGAGGTGCAACGGACATTTGTGCGATCGTTGGTGCATCGATGTGCCGCAACCGGTTCCTCGCGGTAGAAGCTCGTCACGCTCCTCCTCCCACCTCCGTCCCACCGTTGTATCGCTGCTCAGGTGTACCCTAAGCGGATAAATACTGTCTTTTTGTCGCCGTGGTTGACCGTGGGCTTCCATTGCGTCTCCGTGATCACCCCGCCAGGCTGCACACACCGCAGTGCGCCCCCCCCCATCAAAACAACTCTCTTTGTTTCCAATCAATCCCGTCCTCGTCATGCCCAACGTCGCCCCTTGTTTTGTTTCTCAGGTCCGTGCGGAACAGGCGCTCCTGACGGAGCTGGAGTCGGAATGGCTGAACCAGTTCTGGGTGCAGGGGAGGAGACACGCCTCCCTCCACCCGTGGTGGCGGGGCCCGATGGCGCTGGTGCTTGCAACATGGCGAGAGCTCGAGCGACGGACGTCCTTGACGGTGCAACACCTGATGTCCCTCCGAGGACAGGATGGGGGCGAAGGTGCCAGGCCTGGCGGCGGCAGGAGAGCAGCAGAAGCAGCAGCAGCGGCGGAACCGGCAGCGATAGCGAAGGCGTTCGAGACGGTGCTACGGGCCCTAGAGGAGCGGCGAGAGTCGAGGTCGAGGTGGTCGGCGAGGTTCGCAGACCCGGCGTACCGCTCGCTCGCCACCGACCTCGCGCCCGTGGTGCCAGCGCTGTGGCCCGCCGAGGGAAGCGGCGGCGGCGACGTTGGTGAGGAGGGTTCGACTCTGCTGCTGCCCCAGTCCCTGGGCGGGGTTATCTCGCGGCTGAGGGAGTGTTACACCGTGGTTTATCGGGCCGCTTCCGGCGGGAAGAAGGCCGGGTCGGCGAAGGCGATCGCCGCCGGCGCCGCGTCGAACTGGGAGTTATTTCGGGCCGCTTCTTCTTCTGCTTCTTCTGGTGGTGGCGGTGCCGGGAAAAAACACGGCAGTGCTCTTGGGAAGCAGCAGCAGCAGCAGCAGCAGCGGAAGAAGCGGGGTGCTGCCGGCCAGGATGGCCTGGAAAAAAAGAAGCGTGCTGGGGGCGTCGTGAAGGGTGGCGGCGATGGGGGGGGAGGGCGAACGTCGAAGGGGCAGAGATCAAGAAGAAAGGGCCGCGTACGAGAACGGTAGAAAACCGTTTCGGTTTCGCAATCATCGCTCTGGTGGTCAGTAAACATTGAGAACGATGACCGGCTAAGTTGAAACACCTCAGCAATAGTGGAAGCACTCGTTCGTTACCCTAAGTCGAACATGAGGGCGCGCACCTCAAAGGTGTTGTTCTGTTTGACAAGGGTGTCGAGATCTTTGGCTGAAGAGAGGCAAGGGGCCCTGTTTAGGGCAGGTAGATTTGTAAGCGACGGCTAAAAGTTGGGATGACGAAGCAACCTCGTTCTAGTTGGACTGTCCCACTCTGCTGGGGGGGCTCCGTCAATTCATCTACACGGTTCTCCATCAAAGAAGGCGTTCGGCTCCAGGGACTGCCGTGCATTTGCATTGTTGCGGGCGTAGCGCTTACCCAGCAGACTATACTGCTTTGTATCTCTCAGCCTGCTTGTGTGTGCGAGGATATGAGTGGCGTCCCTCGCCATGTTATCCTCATTGATTTCTCTTTTCTGCTGGTCCTTTGATGTTTTCCAGCGATGATGGTGGTGCTAGCGGACTCGTTTTTCCTTACAGCAGTGGCAGCGGCAGGGGCGCTGGCCGTGACGACGTCGTGTATGAGCGACAACGCGTGTGTGTGGGAGAAAGGAGTGAGAGGAGTGGTGGTGTGTGTGTCCTAGCCCACAGTTCGACACTGACTGCTGTCTCTGTGCTATCTGTTTGCTCCTGTGTCCTACCCTCACGCTGCTGTGTGCACACTGTTGTTGCTGCTGGTCCCACACACTGGATGGAATAAGAAAAAACAATTGGGGAAGCAGCCATGGGCACACGGCAACCTTTGTGAGAAGAAAGGAGTGAGAGGAATGTTGAAGCGGTGGGGGGGGGGGGAGAGAAGAGAGGGGACGGCAAGAGACGGGATGATGAGGAGGGTAACAGACCGAAAACACTACTGGGGATTAATAGAGGGAGCGTGGAGCAGATCACCCGCAAAGATATTATTAAAGACTTTTTTGGAGGATAAAATCGTGGAAATTTCTGGGGTCGCTGGAGTAAATTGATGCCCCTTTGCCCCTGTGATACCCCGCCGAGCGCGCACACACACACGCCTCCGAGGCTCGAAGGAACGATCGAAATATGGAATTGGATAAAGTGGATCCACCCCCGGAGCTCATCCATGGGATGAGACTGCTGTAGGTCTGTAGTCAGGACCTCACTCTACAAGTAGACCACCGACGTGTACCTCTCATCCTGAAAGTTTTAGAGAAGGGCTCTGGAAGCGCCTGTTATTTTAGACTCCTGCTCCTGCGTCACGGTAGCATGAACGGGCGCTAAATACTGAGAATCATTCCATTTCACGATGGTTTGAGGAGGGCTAGGGTATACCCCCGGGTGTACCTGAATCATTGGCGGAGCCCCTCTAGAGCTCCGCCTCAACACGTGTTTTGGGTGATCGCTCACTGTTAACACGGCCAATCTCGGAAGAGGAACTTTGACCCACATCGCTAAGCAGCAACCAGTTGTGAGTCAAAGCAGGAGGTAGACCCCCCTTGCTAGTCCCACCTTGATTAGTCCCACCTTGACTAGACCCACCGGGATTGTATCCCTTTTACTAGCCCCCAACTTGAATCCAATGGTAAGATACCATGAACCTGACCATGAAATGGATGAAACTGATTGAACCCTAGCCAGTGCTTGTCACGCTAACACATGAGTGAGCTACTTTAAGCGATAGCGTTATAACCACTGTGACACCTGTCCATCATTTTAAGCATCAGTGATCAAGTAAACCCATGAATCCGGTGACGTGTTGTTTCAAACAAAACCGTCCCGGCGCTTCGTGCACCCCGAAACATCAGTACAGCAGTAGATACCGGTCCACATATTTCCATGGGGCATCACACATCACAGCTTAATCACCGCCGTGCCAACAACATACAGCAACCCGCTTGAAAATCTCGCGGTTCGTCCAGTCCAGATATTTTTTCGGAAGTATCTTTTTGAAAGAGCAGTGGCCAAAATCGGGTACACCCGGTCCAAACACGGCCATAATCGGGTACCCCCACAAGATGCTGCTGGGAACGACCGCATGACACCATCTGATTGGGCGATGCCCGCCCCTACCCAACCTTGACCGTCCTTCCACCGGGTGCACCCGATCTTGGCTACTCGCCCCCCTGAGGGGTACCCGGTTTTTCTTTCCCCTACCCGAAAATGGCTGGGCTGTTCGGCGAAACCCCATGCACACAAGTAGTGCCTTGCCCTCGATTCGGACGTTCTGACGGCCAGCGGGGGCGGACCCACCGCCGGCGGTGGAACTCTCGCGTGGGGGAAACGGCATCAGGCAGGCGGTCGGTGTAAATGATCGACAAAAGAGCTGTGGATGAATGCCTCACTCACGAGATGCAGCACACACGACACGCATCTAACGAATACACAGACAGAGATGTTCTCTGCTTCTGCTTCTTTCTCATTGGCGACAAAAACGAGCGGCCAGCGGTGTGCGTCCTAACCGTGATTGTGTGCATGTGGGGTTTCGCCGAACAGCCCAACCATTTTCGGGTAGGGGAAAGAAAAACCGGGTACTCCTCCGGGGGGTGAGTAGCCAAGATCGGGTGCACCCGGTGGAAAGACGGTCAAGGCCGGGTAGGGGCGGGCGTCGGCCAATCAGATGGTGTCATGCGGTCGTTCCCATCAGCAGCATCTTGTAGGAGTACCCGATTGTGGCCATGTTTTGACCGGGTGTACCCGATTTTGGCCACTGCTCTTTTTGAAAACTTTTGAAAAGTCCAGCGGTCTGTCTGCAGACACGACTACATTCTATTTAGTCCGCACATCCCGCTCGGGAAAACAACCCAACGAACAATACGAGGCGGCGGTTGATCTTGCTCCTCCCTCTCACACGCACAGTCTCTCTCACGGCCTTCACACCAATCCCCAGGCCTCTCCCTTCCTCCGACATAGGGCTACCTACCGTGCAGCAACAAGACCCCCGATCAGCCGACAATGAGGGTCCAACAGGCAGTCCTTCTGTGGGCTTGCTCTATCTACCAGCCTCTCGAGGTTCGCAGACGCAGCCATAGTCGAAGCTTCCACCTTTGCAACCGTCACCGCGGTTGCGGAACTGTACGGTCCGAACCTCAGCGCTGACAACGGGTGCGATCCGTCAGGATGTGTCGCTGAGCTAACCAGAGTGAGTGGAATCGCAGTCTGTGTTCTGCGACTGCTTTCAACATGATTGTGAACGCTCCAGTTGGGAGACCGCGGGAAAATTCAATTTCATGGCTGTGGCATGGTTGTTTTAATGTGAAGAATGGTTGTTGAGGTTTCCCCTCTCGCCCCTCGCACACAACAGCAGCCAGGCGCACTGCCGCATATGCATGAGGCCGGCATCTGGTTGAAGGGGGGTTTCTTTTTTCATTGACGACTGCGTCTGCCTGGCTACGCACTGATTGCATCGTTGATGCGGGTGATTTGATTTGGGTGTATACTTGGAGTCAACACTACGGAGCAGCACCACCGAGGATATTTGATGTTGGTTGGACTGCCGGAGAATCAGTCTCTCCAATTTTGATATGGCCGTGGCCTACCTACGCCGTCTTCGCGCAAAATCGAAGAGAGAGATGAAGACTACATACAGACGTTTTATTCCAGTGTTGAAGGAGTTCCTGCCGTCAGTTAATCATGGTCGCGGAGCCTTCATCGTCAAACGCAAGCATATTGTACTTCCAGGGAAGGGGGATGTAGGTTCAACGGGGGTGGTCATGATATGCCGATTATCCGGGATGAACCCACCCTTCGCCGCGAGGTTCAACAATCTTGATAATTAATTTGCAGTGTTTCGCGAATTGTAATGGATTAATGAAGCAACTACATACATACATTAGTGTAGAGCGTTGTATGCATATGGATGGGCGTTGCATGAACGAACGTTGTATGATGAGCGATTCTTGGATATTTTGACGTTTCGTTGGATACTGTATGGATATTTGGCGTCGTTGTGGGGTATTGAAGTAGTTTGAAGAAGGATCAAAACCCCAGCCCCGCTCACTTTCGGAGTGGACGCTGAGCGGACCTGGTCTAAGAAGGCTAACACAAGAGATCTATGTGAGTGAGTACCCGAAGCTAGGAGCAACGACCTTGCACCCTCCCTTTTTTTTATCTCTATTCCCTCCAAACAGTATTATTGTAGACTATTGTAAACAAATGCAGGTAATCAACGAGACTGACTGATTGTCACGTTCTTCCAGTGCGAGATCCTCTTCGGCCTGGTGTACTTCCGCCATGTCAAGCACGTCAAAATCGGTGAGAAATCGTCTGGCGCACCTCGGATAGGTCGGACTTCTGACCACCCACTCGGTGGCCGGACGACGGCGCATGCACACAAGCAGGGGTGTCAATGGCCCCCCTCGGGCTTCAAAGCGTGCTAAGCTACAAACGGGTCTCCGCACACCCTACCCTTGTCAAAATGAACCACGCCGTCGTCGCTACCATCTATTTCGTATATCGCGTGAAAACATTTCGTTAAGAAACAGAGGCTCCCATATTTACGACATATTCGAAAAATAGTTGTAACAAACATAGCGCAGCGGTGGATCCTACACTAAACTCATTACAATATCCTGTGCTCGACAGCTGCCGACGAAGCAAGAAGTCGAACCCGATAATGACGTTTCGTGTCTCCGTGCCCGTTCTGTTCTCTTCTCCGTCCACTTGTCAAGCTCTCGCCGACGGTGCCGAGCCTTCGGTGGACATGAGGCTAGGTGGCCGTTTCACAAGCTGGGTGAGACAACTCCCGCCACGTTTCGCGAAACTCAACCAAAGACTTGCAAACGCTTGGAGCTGTCCCCTTGTCTCGTAGCATTCGCACCCATCGTTACTGCATTCCGTGAGCTTGCCTTCACTCCTCGACACGAAAAAACACGTCACGGTGATGAGATGTTTTGCTTCTGGGCGACTCAGCTCCAGGTGTCTTTCTTTGTTTTTTTGGGGGGGTATTTCGCTCCCCAATCGCTTGATCTACTAATGTGGTTGACTCATGTCGACCGGCAAAAACATTTTCCTCCGGGTATCGAATTGTGTGTGTGGGGGGGTGTTATCTTGTGTCGTACCAGACAGCCGACCCAATGGGCTGGCCCATGCCGGCTTGCCGGGGTCCTGGACTCCGCTGCTTCCCCTTGGCGTTGACTGGAACGTTGTACATATCTTTTTGTTCTTGAAAAAGATCGCTGAGGAGTTCGTGATGAGCTCGGGAACGACCGACGGCTTCGAGACGTACGACTTCGACTACAAAGCCAGCAGTGTCAGGATTGCCGCGGTCTTCTCCTCCCCCGGGGAGTTCATTTCCATCTCGGAGGTCAGTGGACCCCACAGGGGGTACTCGGTGTGTGTGCTGAGACATTCACCGTTGCCCCTCCTCTGTCGTTTCGTGCGCATGGCCTTTCTTGCGTCTCTCCGCGTTAGGTCAAATATGTACCTCTTTAGCTGGAGGGCGCAGCAGTAGCAGTGTTCATCTAGGATAATATTGATTGGCGCGGTTTCTGGGACGCCTCGTTGCTGACTGCTTAGAATCGTTGCTTGTCCAGAACGTCGCCGAAGGCTACGTACCAAGAAACAGAGTACGCCCTCGAACGGTGATGTTCGATCCAAATTATGCAACACAGGAACCGATCGACCATTTCCCAAACAGCTACTAACGGCTGTGCCTCCATCTCCCTCGGTCCGATGCCGTTCATTGATATTTTTCTTGTTAGGTGGAGATCGTTGAAGAGGTGGTGGAAGGCGAAGCCCCAATCGAAAACTTCAGCACTCCGCGCGACAACGGAGACGGCCTTGTAAACATGAGCGCTCTGATCCACTCGTCCATGTATGCACCAGCACGTGCTTAACTGTTTCGATCAACAGGAAGCTGCAGCGGATCACAAACCTGGGGCTGACGGGAGAATAGTCCTATTGGGCCTACGTGGAATAGCTATATGATGTGTGCGTGGAATAGCTGCAAGATGTGTGCGTGATGTTGGACAGCTTATGAGGAATTTCTTCATCCCAACCATCGACATCACACTTGTGCCTTTCCGTACTCAAGGAGCTCGTTCGCTGCTAGGCATCCGCGTTGTTGTGACGAACCGCCGATCAACAGCATCTACGTAGAACGATGACGAATTGCAACGGCAGAGTTCTTTGCCCTTAATGCGCCCCTTCTGGTTTGACATTGACGTTGATGCACAGGAACCGACGACTGACGGGTTCGAGTGGAGCTCCGACTCCAACGAGGCCATCAGCCGGACCTTGTTCTTGTCTCTCGCCGGATACTTCATGGTGACAGAACTCCAGCTATTGTTCCCCGAGGGCGACACATACAAGTTGACCTGACGCTTTTCAACAGGCTGAACGGCACGGGCGAGGCGTACACGACCATCACGGTGAGAGGATAGAAGATTTGGTACAGATATTTTGGTTCGGTTCGCTGGGCTCGTCATGTCTAAACACGTCGGCGGTATGGACTGTTCCAGCTCTCTCTCTGTTCATCTTGCATCACCCCCCTTTCGAGAAACGGCAGCACATGAGCCGAATCCGCTCGCAACAGTCGCGTAGCACCCTTTTTTTGGAATAATGCTTCCATGCCAGGCTGGAAACCGAGGAGAAATTGCTCTCCCATTCGATGCTTTTATTGGTCGTTCCATCAAATCATCAGGGCCACCTAAAATATGTAGCAAGAGTTTTGCTGCCCTTCGCGTGCGGAGGGCCCTGCGTTCCGCTATGAAACTGCTGTGACTTGACTCCCACAGCCCTTCCACAAGAGTTTACCTCCGCTTTTTGCTCCTTACGAATGGCGATAGGGTTTGGAAAGCACCGATACAGCTGGGTTCCAGTCCTTCGACCTGACGGGCTTCGCCGACCAGTACGTCACCTCCATTGGAATCGAAATGAAGGGGACCGGCTCGGGAGCGCCCGGGTTCGCAGTGCTTGACCCCATGGTACTTGGCGCCAAGATCGATAACCCCTCCGACACCTTCTATGTGAGTGTTCGAGGCGGGTGCGACCATCGGAGGACCACGGGAGAGACATTACGGGAGAGAAGGAGAGACGGAGAGAGAAAGACGGGAGACAAAGATGGCGAGAGAGAGGCGTCGAGATGTATCATGTGCGTGCTTCCAAGGCAGCACTGGCCACCAGACATACCCATTCTAAGGCCCCCGACGGAAAGCCCTGACCTTGCAAGCTCACCGGTTCGCAATCGTCTCCCTTGGTTCCGGCGACGGGTCCCCTTCCCCTACCTTCACATCTCGTTTTGAATGCGTTCTCAGGTTGGGTCTACTTTCATCGAGTTCTGGAGTGGAAACGGATTGCCGGACTTCGTGGGGACGGGCTCGGGAGACCAAAACGCAATCAACGGTGCCATTTGCGCGGTGAAGAAGGGTACTTTCGACGGCGTGGACTGCATCGACATGGATGAAACTGCTACGGGCACGGTGAGACCTGTAGTTTCTTCGGACTTTCGAAATGCAAGATAGAATGTAGTGTATGTAGTGCGTCTGGGTCAAGTTGCCATCGTGTGTTACTCTTCCCCTAATCGAACCGTACGAACACCCTGCCTTCTGATGTCTTGTCGTCAGCCCTCTACGGTTTCCCGCGGTGTCCCCCGGAGCCTCTTCGCTTGTCTGCACGGTTTCGATGAGGCCGACTGTCGCTTCTATCCTACACGAACATTTACCGCAGCGCATCCCTCAACACATTCGCCAATCCGCCCTCGCACGGCTCCCCCAAGTGGGGTCATCTGACGCGCGATGTCGATCCCATCGTGCCCGTACGCCGTATGTGTGTATAAAAAAAATTCGCTATCCCGCTACTCCTCGCAGGTGGATCTGTCCTGGGTGCGTACTTCGTGGACGGCAACGTCTTCATGCAGTCTGGCGTTCTCCTCCTCGGCGAGTGAGTTCCCGACTTGTTATTTTCTGCTTTGTGTTGCGCAACGATTGCTCTCAGTACTGTGCCTAATAGTGTCTTGACCGAGCCACAATAAGTAGTCTTCGGAGCGCCTGTATATCTATCAATGCTATATACGTGAAAGTAATATCTGTAACAGAACAGCATTATGTAAAAGTTGCTGCACCCGTTCTCAGCCGGTTTGGCGTTGTCCGAGGTTTCGTGTCGGTCGCGGGAATGCCCACTGCGGCGGAACGTTGGCGCACGGGTCACTTCGTGCCTGGTGGCTGGAAAAAAACTGCGACTGCGTGCGTGTGGTCCCGCCGCCCACAGAAACCTTTGTACCATTTCTGCTGTAAGGCTCCCGGGATACTTCAATGGTTTCCTATTCGTTCTCTTCTTCGCCTCGAGTACGCAGGCGTGGTGCATTGGAAACGTGTTCCTTTGACATTGCTTGTGGCGTCACATTACGCTTGTTTCCCTACCAGTTTCGGCGAAGACGACCCAAACACGACCGACATCGTACTGGAGGAAGGGGCTGAGGGAAACACTGACATCGACGCCATCGTCGTCATGGATGGCGTTCAGGACGCTTGGGCATGCTGATTTGGGGGAAGGGCGTCCTTGACAGAGCATTTATTATTGATTTTTTTTTTTTATCTTCACTTCAAATCAGCGCTCACAGCACTATTAGTGCCGTTTTACTCCAACCCGTGGTCAAACAGAAGAACCCCTCTCTACCCTCCCCTCCTGCGGTACTTGGCCTTCGATTTTTAATGCGAGAAGAGTTCAGCACTCCCTTCCCTCTGTGTACACACGAACTAGCGCTATCCACTAGACCAGGAGCGGAAGCGAGAGAAAAACTCACTTTGCAAGAAAAGCTCGTTTACGCCGGGATTCGAACCCCTGACCTGACCTCTAGAAGGTTTCGCGGATACCAACTAGACCACCGGGGCGACCGGGTATCCGAGAGCATTTACACGAGTGCGAAGACGATCGCATGCGTCTTGTAGGCTGACATCCCATGCCTGTGTGTGTGAGTAGAGAGAAGTATGCACCACGAGCAGAGCCAATTAGGGCTAGGCTAGAGGCTGCTGTTTGACTCGTGACTTGAGAAATTCACAGCTCTTCGATGGACCCGCTTCATTTTTGGCGGCCATTGCATCTTGTCCTGACCGATTTTGTTTATTTTTCTTTTGCCGTGTGAGGGTGTAGAGCGCCTCACCCAAGCACCTGAACTATGGTGTGTGTATGTGACGGTCGCTCCGGGGGGGCAGTCACCCCAGGCCGATGTTATTTGCATAACGAAAAGTAACTACTTGTATGCAACAAGAGTTCAACACATTCTCCCAACTAACCAGAAAGGCGCGGTGTGCTCCATACATGCTATAACAAAACGTTTCAGATCGAAGACGTGTGGATCCAAGGGAATTAAGTTCCCGAGACCGGCACCGACAGCAATCCCGCCGTATCTGGCCTAGGATCGACCTGCCGCTCGGTTGTGAACTCCCAGGTGAGGCGATAAGAATTGCTGACGAGGGCGGATTGCGCTTTTTCAATATCGATGTTGCCAGATTTTGTCGTGGCTAGACTAACACTGATGGAGATGCCAGTTACAGCTTTTTCTGCGTCCCTGCATTCCCTGCCCAAGGCAAGTCTGTGTCTCGTTCCCTCCGTTCCTCCTCTTCACCGCTCGATGCCGAACACGTTGCAGAACGTCACTTGTGAGGGCGTCGACATTCGCTACTGCAGCGGTGACGCCCTGGTCGTGCGCGACTCTACCCTCGTAAGCATCGACGCCGGCAGATACGACGAGTGAGTGCGCTACAAACGGACTGCGGCTGCACGCCTTATTGCTTGTGCTGTTATCGTTGCTGCTGCCCTTTTCCGTTCGTTTCGTCCGATCTAATCTTGTACCTGTCGATTGTTAAGGGATCAGATTTCCCGCGTCGAGTCGTTGGTGGTTGTCGGCGCCGACCGCGTCAGCCTTGCGTGGCAACACCCGTGCTCACCGAAGTAATTCTTCCCTCCCTTCCGTGGTTTTCCTGCGGTATTTCGACGCGTTTTCGTGTTTTTACTAGGCATGAAGGAGTTCCTTCCGTGGACTATCGGCCTAAGCCGAGGCACCGGTCTGATAGTCGACACGTCGGACTCCGTCTGAGTTCGCCGGCACACGGTGAGTCGCGACACCCTCCCTCTTTGGAACTGGACGCGCGTGATGGGTGCAACATAGATAGCTGCTCCGCACAGCATATCAACGATTGACTCTGACTCGGGCTTTGTGTAGGCCCATCGTTCCTGCATGGTATGGGTGTTGCCAGTATAGACTGTTAAGTGCACCACCTGAGCTGTTCCTATCGTCCCGCAGACTGCGGGACAGTGGAATCTCGCGGATACTCTCAGGTAGTACGTGCGCCGGCGAACCGGCTAGTACCACCACTGTAGTACGATAGATTGGAACTCGTCGCCAGGAATATGGCCTCCCCCCCCCCAACATTGTCGTCAATCTCTCGTGCGCTTGGGTCGGCCTCAATGTGGTTCCGTGCAGTTACGCGACAACGTCGTGGCGGGTCTCCACATCATGGGCTCGAACAATTTTACCTTCGAAGCAACCATCGGCGAGGGCCCGAGGGCGCAGGAAACGTTGGCAGCGTTGACGGACAGCAGCCTATCGAAGTCATCGTCGAATCCTCCAGCCTTGTAAAGTTCCAAGATAAGCCGGTTCAGTCGGTCAATGGTGAGCGAGACTCTGTGCGTGTTCGGGTGATGGTGGCGTTCTAGTAGTCTCGTGAACCATCTCCCACTGAAGAAAGCTTAGCGTGGGCGAAGGCCGTGTGCCCCTCTCTCGGGGCTAGAATGTCGTGAGTGTGTTGTTCCTGAAGCATCCTCGCCATGCCGCCTTCCTCAGATTCCTTTGTGTTGATGGGGTTATTGCATGTGCCTGTATCAATTGGCTTATTTCGTATGTACACCCCGCCTGAACCCTGCTGTCTTGCCTTCCCTTCCATCGTTTCCCGTGCGCAGATCCGGTGATGACCATCACCGATAGCACGACGGTGTCCTTCACCAACGGCGGCTACTCCAATGTCCCATCCGGCACGTGCACCATTCAGGTATGTCCGGATGTTTGACCCCTAGCCATACCTAGAGTGTTCAGCAACGTCGAAAACTGTGCACCCGATGCTGCTCGGACATGAACGGCTTTGACGACACGAATCCCTGGTCCAAGGTGTGTCGATACCCGGTAGAAATTGTGTGTAGGACTCCAACGAGGTTGTCCAGTGGATTGCGTGATCTCCCGAACGGTCGTGCCACGAGACCACTAGTGAAGGCAAGCTTTTGTCTCCTTGCATTATTCACCCATATCTCACGCACCAGGTACGGGCCCCTCCATTTTCTAACTCACCCATGCCCGAAAAGACCAGAGCCCCCCAAAGCCCCCGCAGCACATTTCTACAGTAGTAGATCGAGTACACCAAACAGTCCCCCATACTCGGCGCGAGATATGATGTCGGAGTTTCTTATGAAAGTTCCGGGTTAAGACGGCAATGTGGGGTACCTTTCATGTAGTACTCCTCCAGCACGGGCCAAATATCCTCCGTTGACGCTACCTTGTATATCCAAGAACTCCAACAATGCACCCCATCAAGAACTACAGTACCTTCGGCGAACCTGTAAAACACCGCCTAACAAATGTTTTTTTCTGCCACGCTCGTGTGCCGCGAGCGCCTCTTTGTGCCGTGGTTCGATGAGAAAATCCGCGTGCTGTTCTTCAGACGATACATAAGACTATCCTAGACGCCCCATTGGCCACCCGCTCCCGAACGAAGTGGTGACGTGCGTCGATTTTCTTCGGTTTTCTTCGGTTTTCTTCGGTTTTCTTCGGGTTCCCAGCCACACTAACAAAAACGCAACGACTGTCTTGTGAATGCCCAACAGGCTGACGACCCCAGCACGGTCACGATTGACGCCGACGAAGATGAGCTCGTTCTGGAAGGCACGTGCTACGTCAAGGTGTAAAGGCGGCGCATATGCCCACGTGCAGAAGCTCCCACCTAGACTCCTAGACATTGAAGGAGTGGTCAGGGCTGCTGTAGGTTGTTTCGCTGCCGGCCTCCCGTCTTTAGAGGCGGTAAACATATCCCGTAAACAGTGTAATCTTGACAATCGGTGTTTGGATGTGGGCCTCGCTCGTTGTCAAGCTCAAGCTTAGAGATGAGACTCGCAGAGGAGAGTGCCCCCTACAGTAAGCACGGCGCCGAGTCAGTTTCTCTTGCGTCACCTACTTGCAGAATACCTTCATTGGCTCGCGCACGCGAAAGTAGGTGAAGAGAGGAAAAACGCTCACCAGAGCGTCTGCACACTGTGGCTCAGGTGCGCCTCTTCCTATATCCTGAGTCTTCCGTCACACGGGCGTGAGTGTGGAATTTGTCGGTGGAGGACATAGTCACAGTCTCGCTGTGGGAGTTACTCTCTGTTTGATTGGTAGAACTGTAGCTATCTGTGTAGCATCCGGTGATGGTTAAGCAGGGTCTTGGGGTGTTATTCTTTGATTGAAGTACGTAGATGCGCGTGTTGTCCCGGTAGACATTCAATGGGTCCTCCTTTGGGATCAAGCACTACATATTTGCTGTGTTCGACTAGTCCTCCATCCATGGTCGCATGACACGACGATCGCTCTGACTGATCAACCTTGCCAAGTGCAAAAAATGCTAATGATGATCTTTGATGAACCGTTTGGTGGATTCAGTAGCGTGCAGCGGGCGACAAACTAGCATGCAGGCTGCGGGTCGGACAAGATGCATGAGTTTTGTTGCATCACTCAATGACATTCATTTTCGAAAGTATGCTGGTTCAGGCATCATCAATCAATGGCCTTGTTGGTTCAGGCAGGACCGTTGAATCTGGGAGGTCGCTCACGATGATTTGCCGAACGTCCTGTGCATTAGGGTGGTACTGATGTCAGAGAACAGGCGGGCGTGACCTATCTTCAACAAAGTGCCGATTTAAGAGAGCAGGCGTGACCTCTCTTTACTGTAGCCGCTACTGTAACAGCTTGTGAAGCTCCGTATCAGTAGATGTACCTCTAGAAGGACCCTTCTTCTTCGACTTTGGGTTCTAGCATCTGCTGACACGATCCCTCGGGGTAGGCTGCTAGTGTCATGGTATGACATTTTTGAGCCTGTTCCCTAAGATACCAAATGGGCAGGAACTGTACCTTGTAGGATACACCGACCACCCTGCAATACAGTAGGCTGACTCTGTTTACTTCCGTGTTAATAAAACCAGTGTATTTCTTGTTGACAAGCACAGTGTGCGCTCTTCCTCTGTGCTTCCTGGGAGTGAGCGATCGGTAGCGAGCGACTGGGAGAGAACGGGAGGACACAAACAACAAATTGGACTCGAACAGAGCCGTTAGGTTCTTTACTTATTAGGAGTTCTCATGGGACGTCCATGGGGCGTCCCACGCTCCCGTCCCATGGGCAACCCATGTGCGTCTCATGGGTCCGTCCCATGGGTGGCCCTACCCTAACCCTAGCCCTAATGCGCCTGATCGTCAGTCCCATGCGACGTCCCGCGCTCCCATCGGACGTCCTCCGTCCGGCGCGTCCCATGGGACACGCGGGGACGCCCACTACAACGCCCAGGAAGCGTCATCATGTTTCGCCGTGGGTAGGAGAACACCGGGTAGCCCCAAGCGTCCCATCAATGTGTTTGTGTTCCGCTCGTGGGATGTGTGAGACGGCCCATGAGACGCACATGGGGCGCCCATGTACCCCATGGGAAGTCACATCCATGTCAACTGCCCAACAATATCAGGACCAGACGAACCTGGCGCTGTTTGTTTTCGAGATGACATGTTGCGCGGCTTTTCACCGCCAACCAAACTTAAGAAACTTTCCCAGTCGGTCACATCAAACACGCCCACCTTGTATAAATACGTCAAAGGTGTGTAGTTCCACTCAACCATGCCGTTGAGTAGCTTTGTGCGTGGGTGCCTCGGCGCGGGGTCCCGTAGTGGGAAACATAAGGTGCCAGCAGCTGGGTACTGCCAACGGTCAAAATGTAGAAACTATCTGCGGGCGTGAAAGCCCTTCTACGTGGTGGAGCGTGGAAGCTCGTGTATAATATAGTTGTGGCGTGGAAGCCGGGTGGCGTGGAAGCCCTGATGTAAAGGTATATGTAGGGACGTGGGAGTCCTGAAGGCGTGGAAGCCGGGTTGGCGTGATAGCCGGAGTATGGGCGTGGAAGCCGGGGTTGGCGTGAGAGCCGGAAAAAGGACTTGATTATACACAGAAAAAGGAAGTGAGGAACCACAAGCCACGCACACAAGTTCCGTTGTAGACACCCATACCCTCAAACCTGCAATTTGTGATAAAGTTGGTACCACCAAATCTAATCCATAGCAACCATTGAACCCCCAAACTCCCCGCTCCATCTGCTCGGGAAATTCTTCCTCGCAATAATCTGTTGATGCTGTGAGTACATCCAACAGCCCCCCTACTCGCTGCATTGGCAAGATTACACCCGGACTCATTTCACTACCTTAAACATGCATACCCTCTTATACCAAATACCTGAACGCAAGCCTTAGTGATTAACATTCCATCCATCTCATGCTTCGTCTTCGCCAAAACACCATGACCATTAAACCAGAAACAAAACTCGTTAGAACTCCAACCGGTTTGAAACTCTACTCCTAACCATTAAACCAGAAACACTGCAGAGATTATCCATCGGTCACCCTTGAATTCAACATCGTATCAAATCAACTCCTCAGAAATAGTAATTCAAAAAAATCGCACAAACGCAAAAAAAAACAAAAAATAATCGGATAGAAAGTATTCCCAACCATTAAAACAGAAATACCAAATATATTATCCATCGGCCATCCTTGAATTCAAACTCGTAGAAAATCAACTCCTCATATACTCAAATCGAAAGAATCACACAAACAATCACACAACACAAAAACTCCGGGACTGCTCACTTTAAGTTCATCACGTAGTCCCTGTGAAACACAAAATCCCTCTCAGGTAGCGCCTTCGTGAGGAAGTCAGCATGTTGGTACTGCGACGCTACATGAATGATCTCTACCTCCTTCTCATCTACCAGTTGTCTGAGGAAGTGATGCCGCACGTCGATGTGCTTCGAGTTGGAATTCGAGATCGGGTGTTTTGCGATCTGGATAGCACCCTCGTTATCCTCGTACAGTGGAATGCACGGCCGCAACTCCTTCGGCAACATAAAGCGCCAAACCTGCCTCAAAAAAAGAATCTCCTTCCCCATGTCCACCATCGCCACGTACTCTGCCTGCGTGGTGGACAAAGTCACACACTTCTGAGTCTTGGAAAACCATGCTATCGCTCTCCCCGCACACATTACTACTCCACTTGAAACCGACCTACGATCCGCCGCACGCGAGGCGTAATCCGCGTCGGCGAACGTGATCAAAGAAAATCCTGAGATTGTCCCCTTCTGAAAAGAAGTCCCGAAAGAACTAGTCCTAACTGCATATCCTAAGATGCCAAGTGCAGCCTTCCAGTGGATCAACTTGGGTGCACTACAGTACCTCGCTACTGCCCTCACCGCATTCGCGATATCCGGCCCACACAGGTGGAGGTCGACACCCCTTTCCCAAAATGTCGGATACCTTCGCCCCCTTGTGAAGACCTTGACAAGGTCGACCACCTTGGAGAAGGCAACCAAGACCTCGAAAGGGGAGAAATCGAGGTATTTTCGAGGCCTTGGTTGTCTTCTCCAAGGTGGTCGACCTTGTCAAGGTCTTCAAAAGGGGGCGAGGGCATCCCACATCTTGGGGAAGGGGGGTCGACCTCCACCTGTGTAGTCAACAAAGCTATCCATAGCAACGAATCAATCAGCGCGCGAAATGGGTACTCTACGCTCGGCTCATGAACGTCAAAGTCCCAAAGTCTCCAAGTCGTGGGCAAAGGAATGCTTCCGCCCCACTCCACACCATATCTCTCTCCCAACTCCTTGGTGTATGTCTCCTGCGAAATCGTCGATCTACCTGCCTCTCTGTCCCTCTCCTAATAGCAACCAGAGTACCACTGCAACTCCCCCAGAGACTTCACCGGTACGTACTCGCCCAGATCCTTCCCAAATTGATCACACCTCTCCTTCGTCCCCACTGCAAAAATATCGTCTACGTGTACTACTAGAATCAACACTACTTCCCCCCCTTCGACTAAGCGAAAAACACACGAATCGGCCATGCACTGCTCGAAACCCAAAGCCAAAAGACACTTCTTCAGCAACGCGTACCACTCCCTAGATGCCTGCCTCAAACCGTAAAGACTCTTGTTCAACTGCACAATCTTCCCCGACAACGCACCACATCCTTCCGGCAATCGCATGAAAATGTCTTCCTTAAGAGGGGCCCTCACAAACGCCTGATCGATATCGAAATGACACAACTCCAAGTCAAGCTCACACGCCAAAGCTGCCAACATACGAACACTAGACGAAGCTACAGTGGGGGCATACAAATCACCAAAGTCAATGTATTCCTTCTGCATATCTCCTCTTGCAACAAGTCTGGTTTTGGGCTTCGTAGGAAAGCCGAACGCATCTACCTTCCAATCAAACAGAAACTTCGACTTGTTACAATTACCGATTGGTTGCTAGGGTCCAACAACCTTGAATGCATCTGCTTCTAGCAACCCAAACACCTCTCTCTTCGTCGCGTCCATGAACTGGGTGCTGTGCACGCTCTCCTTCGCCTCCTTGAATGTCTGGGGTACCCTGAGGTCCTTGGAGTGGCAGCGCGGCATGTCGGGGCGCAGAAGGGGTGGCTCCATCTCAGAGATAGCCGAATTGAGGTCGTCGCGTGTCGCAAGACGCGCCACGAGCCCGAGCGGAACGCCCCGCTCAGAGGGACCGATCGACCCTCCATACCCCACGCGTCCCTTCTCGCCTGTGTCCCCCTTCGGCGGGATTCCCTTGCTTCCTCCCGCGTCCCCACTCCGAGCGCGCTGCTCGCCTCCCCCCCCCTGCTC